CCTTCTTCTTTTTCTCCGCTTTCCCTGTGGCTTCTATTGTTCTGTTCCCTCTCTTCTCCCATCAGTTATGATATGTTCCTTTTTCCTATTTCAGTAGTCCTCTTCAGTTTTCACCCTTTCCTGGATCTGTCTCATTTCTTCCCCTCACCACTTTAAAGGCACAGTGGTCTTCCCATGCATCAAGGAAAAAACCCAACTACTTATACAGTATAATAAACTGACATGAATCCAATTCTTCTCACATATTTCATTAGAGAATTACTTTAAACATGACACTAATGATGCAGAAGAACCTACCTGTATGATGTGAAATATACTAGCATTTTGTTTAAACTTGGCCTCTACACATGCAAAGTACCGTATTTTTTGCTCCATAAGACACACCTGACCATAAGACGCATAGTTTTTAGAGGAGGAAAACAGGAAAAAAAAAATTCTGAACCAAATAGTATAATGAACGGTGAGCCGAAGGCGAGAAAAACAGGGGGGGGGGGTTCACACGAGCAGCCTCCCCTTCCTCCTCCTCCAGACCTGGAGTGACAGCGCGAGGCGAGGGGCAGCAGGGAGGGAGAGGGGCAAACACCGGAGGAGGAGGAAGGGGGGGCGCGACTCGACTGTGAGAACCGACACGAGCGCGCAGGCGCGTGAGGGCAAGAAGGGGTTGGGAAGGGGCAAAGAGAGGAGCTGGTGCACACCCATGCGTCTCTGCGCTTCTGCGGCAGCTTGGGTCTGTGGAAGTCTGGAAGTTGCACGTGCGTGCGAAAGAGACACAGGGGGAGAAATGGGGGGGGAACGCCAGGCGTCTCTGCTTCTTGCACCGCGCGAGTGCTTTGTCGCCCTCTGTCCCCCGGTGCAGCTTGGGTCTGTGGAAGTCTGGAAGCTGCGCGCACATGCGAAAGAGACAGGGGGGGGAGAAATGGGGGGGGGACGCCAGGCTTCTTTCCGACTAGTCAGCTGAGCCGCGCAGCATCTGCAGCCGAGAGGAGTATTCGCTCCATAAGACGCACACACTTCCTCCCCACTTTTTTTTGGGGGGAAGTGCGTCTTATGGAGCGAAAAATACAGTAATTGTATGTGGAACATTAGCACATCAGCACAACACCCACCCAGCCTATTGGTTTCTATTGGTTTCTACCATGATAACCTTGCACATGTGAGATATTTCAAACACAATTCTGTGGTTTAAAAAAATGATACTAACACCCCTACCTGGTGCAAATGAGGATATCCACAGATTAGTCTGGGTATTTTGTGTCACCCTGATCTTGTGGGTGATGACAAATGATTACCCAAACTAAGGATGCAAAGGGATATAAGAAAGGAGTATTCAATGAAGCTATATTTTTTTCCCAGCAAAAAAAACCCTCTGCTGCTCCAAGTGTCAAACATGAAATACAGAAATATTGACACAGGTGAATTTTTAAAAAATTAAATTAACAAAATACTTTACCTGGCAGCCTCTCTTTTCAATCTCCATAATGCATTTCTTCATTAAGAGGGGCACCATCAAGCCTACATTTTCCTTCTCAACAACTTTCCGAACATCGACGCCAAATATTACCGGCTCTCGTTCTCCATCTAGTCCATTAAGAGAGTTCTCCCACTGCTCCAGAAGCGTCAGTTTGACATAAATAAGCCCTCTAGGTTCCAGCTTTACTGCCAACTGGTGAGTCTTTGTCACTCGAAAAAGAGCAGGGAGAACCACTGTCCCATGGCAGCAGACACGATTCTTCCTTGGCATGGGCTCCCAGCTAAAGACCACTAGTTTTAAATGCTGAGCATTTTCAATTTCTATGTTGAAAGTGTGGTCCATGTCCAAAAAGGTTGTTCGGCATGTCAGCAAGGCAGTCCTTGCTTTATTAACTGAATCTACCTGAATTGCACAGAAGACATCTTTTGAGTCCATCCGTGGTGGTTTCAAATCCTCAGCTCCATAGAAATGAATGCTCATGAGCCCAGATATATATTGGGAACATTTAGGCTGGTCAGAAAAGCTGTAATGTCTGAAAGCATCAATGTCAATTTCTACTTTACTACCATTATTGTTGGGGAACGCTTCCTTTCCTTTCCCAGCCCTGCTTTCAGCTGCATGTTTCCCTGATTTTGTTATAAGCTCAGGGGAGTCTCCATCACTGAGGTAGCCTCCTTTGCTGGAGGACTTGGAACTCCCATTGCTTTTCTTTTTGTAATTGTGTTGGGAAGACACACTGCTATCAAGGTGATACCGGCTTATAACATTCC